TTAGTTATTCATTGAAAAATGAGTCTCAGTCGTGCTGTTACGCTTTAAGATTTTATACTATAGCACATTTCTAATAGGTTTAACGAATTACATGTCATTTATTTGAATTCAAATTTATTTTAATGACTTAGTATTTACTAAAAAGATGTAATTTTTTTTAAAAAAAGTTGTTATATGTATTTGAATTATTGTTTTGAATTCTTAGAAGTTTGTGCATTTGCAATGTACCCAAGTTAGTAGCGAGCATAGTTTGCGAAGCAAGCCATATAAGATTGCGTAGCAATTTTCGGGGGTCGGCGAGCAGGGGCACAGTCCACTAGTACTTAAATAATGGCATAAATAAATTAAGTTATATTTCTGTGCGTAAGAGTTTTAGAAAAAGAAATATATTGTTTAGAAAAGCTTGAAAGTAATGTAAAAATCTGTGCTATTGTTTTAATGAAAATATATTAAAGTAAGTATTTTAAACTTATTTATTTGTCACTTCTTAAAATAATTTTCCATGTATTCAAGTATTTTTATATGTTTTATCAAACATGGAATTGCCAAAAAATGTCACATATGCAGTGTAAATTGTTTTTCCCATTAACTTACTGTTTAAGATAATCCTTTTTTTTTTAATCAAAAAGTATTACATAAGTGATGAATATTTAATACCAGTTATACATAATTTAAACAAACGGACAAATGCTGTTCGCAAAAATTTATAACCATCATCAAAAAATTTTTAATATTACTCATTATTAAAAAATTCCCATATTCGCGTCACTGTTTTTATATTACATTTTTCACCCCATTTGCACTCATTATTTTTTTTTCTTTCCACTCTGTATTTTTTTAAATTTATGTATATCATTTTATCTAAGAAATAATCTTTACAGGTATCACAAACAATAATGATGATAAGTGGACACCTATGGCAAATGAAGCAGTGTGTGCTATATTTGCTCTTATTGAGGAACCTGCATCTTTGTGTTCAGAAATCACTCCACAAATTGCTGATCAGCTGAGTAGATATTTTGTATTTACTGACGAAGCTAACAGTGAAGGTAATTGAAAATTTAATTAAAACCAAAGTTCAACCTCTTTAAAATTTACTGTTTCTAAGCAATTAAGAAGTTATATACTTCTGAGAAGTGTAAATTATCTATGAGGGTTTTTTTAGCGTTATTTTGCTTTCACACAGCTAAAATAAACTGAACGAACACCAAATTAACGAAAAAGATTTAGAAAAAATTTAAGAAAAAAAATAGGCTGAAAACAGCTTACAGAAACTCTTTGAAGACTGAAACACTTGATGATTTGCTCAGAATTTCTATAAATTAGCCTCCTCTTGCCCTCTCCAATAAAGATTGTTGCTACGCCTGAAAGTGGCATATATTTTGTTGTGTAGAAGCAGCAGTATACAAATATTAAGTCTTTAAAGTAGGAAAACGTTTATGGTCATCCTTATTTTGTGTTTTTATTTTAATAATATGTAGATAATATTGGAACCATTAAAACTTCTTCTAAACTAATATCAGTGCTATTAAGCGACAAATGTATTTCAGTTTTTCGTCTTCTAAATTTTTTTGATTTTGGTTACTAAAAAGTTCTTTATACTACTATTAACATTTTGAAAGTTGTTTATATTTTTTGTAAAAGCAGTGGTGAGCAATAATTTTAGTTAGGTTATTACTTTAGAACTAAAATTTCATGCCGTGTTATCATCAATATATGGACAAAATTTATGTTTAACATTTTATCATTTATTGTTTTTATGTACATGAAATAGGTACTCCTGAGAAGTTTAATGTCCCGAGTGTCCATTTGTCAAGATTTCTGTCATTGTGTGGACATATTGCTTTACATTATGCAACATATTTGAAAGTTGATCACTTTGCTGTTCTCAGAAGAGAAGAACTTTACAGAGAACAGCGAAGAAGGAAATCGGTTGTCAGTGCCAGTATCTCTACTCCAAAATTTTCAAGAGTAAATGGTAGTCCATTAAGATCAGTAAGTATACTTATGAAGGAAACGAAATATTTTTCTATGATAATTCTTGTGATTCTTCCTTATTTAAGGAGTATACTCATTTCTTCTGCACAATTTAAAAAATAAAGCTTTTGTTTAATGTTGCCAAAAATATTAGTCTGGAAATTTGTTTTTTCAAAAATTTTGTTATTCAGTGAAACCTTGCCTAACCAACCCTCCACAACAAATCTCCTCACATCGCAGATAATTTTTTAAATCCCCTGACAATCTTGTATGAATAAAAACCATTATATACGACCCCTTTAAGCCAAACACTCTTAATCAGACATGAGCAGTAATTTTGAATCTGGAAAAGCTCTTTTTAAATCCCTTCAAGATAGACATTCCAAATTTATGTATATATATTTTGGATGTGAATGAACATTTTATGTGAATGGACATATTATGGTGAATGGACATTTGGATCCACATTTATGTATATATATTTTGAATGTATAATTTTGGATGTGAATGTTTGTTATAATGAAAATGATGGAATAAAGAGATGGACTATTACGAGTCATTATGACTCATTATTATGAGTTCTTTATTGTGTATTGCAACGAAGTCTCTTTTATTAAGAGCTCAGTGAAACCAGATATCTAAATAATGCCATAATCTATGTATCATGCTTACTTCAGAGAGGTATTTTACATATATGAATTTTGAACCAGTGGTAAAGTGATTAATAGTGTTTAAATCACTTAATATTTTTTTTAATGTTATTGATCTATCAAGTTTCATTTTTATTATAAAGAGAAAACTCAGTGATTCAATTTTAAAAAAAAATGTTTAAAATAATTTTAAATAGTTTCTGGGAATGGTTGGTTGGGATTTGTTAGTTTGATCTAATTGATTAACATTGTAGGTTTTATCCAGAGAAATAATGAGGGAGTAATTTGTGTAAATTTATTATTCTCTTTTCAAAATAGAGTTAAAAATACTAATTGTGGATCATAGAGGAATAAAACTTTTATATTGTATCTTTAAATAGCTGTATGTTTTATGTGCTATTTAATAAGCATAGTTCAAGTGTAACAGTTTAGTTTTATGTTTATTTAAATTAAAATACTTTTAAAGTACTTTCTAAATAACAGGAAAGTACTTTCCCTGCAATAAGTAATTTAGAATAATTGTTTGTTTGTTTTTTATGTTTTCTGATGTATAGTTATTTTTCACTTGATATCTAATTGACAAATTTGATCTTTTTCCCTATATTCTATTTTAAATTCATCAACGTATTGAGCTTGAATAAAAACAAAGATGATTTAATTTTTGCAGTGATTAATTTGTTATATTTATACTATAATGATTCTAACTATTTTAGTTTGAAATACTAAATGCTTTGGTTATATTATTGTTTTTAAATAATATTGAGCATTATTAATTTTATCAGAGAAACCTCTGATTGGTGTACGTACAAAAAATCTGGTTTGAATAAATAAAAAAAAATATTTAAAAAAATATTTTTGTCGACCCAGATAGATGATTTTTAACTCATTTGTAGAATTTCCAACATTGATTCAGGAATCGAAGCTAAATCACTTTATCTCACTGATGAAGATGAAAATGGAATTAAAAATGCATTATTAAGAACTGTTGAACCAGAAACATCTAAAACAAACTTTTATTAAAGATTTTTTTCTTGTTGGATCAATGAAAAACAAATACTATATGAGTTAGGTAAAAGAAGTAGAAGATCTTCATAATGCAAGGCTTTGTGTCTTATAGATCATTCCTTTAAACTAAGTGTTGCAATTATAGTCTGGAACAGAGATAAATCTTAAAATGGTTTTTAGATACAAATAATTAAAAATACAAAAAGATGAACTTGAGTATTGTTGCCAGAAAAAATTTACAATTTTTAAAAGTATTATGACTAACAGACAATTTTATTAATTGCTGCTTAGGTTTTGAAATTGTTAACTTTTATTTTAGCAAATGATATAAATGTTATTAGTTCTTGCTTAGTTACAAAAATTTCTTAACTGTAATTTTCATTGTTTACACCCATTAAGTCAATGTAGTTTATGGAAAATTTTCCTTTTGTTTTTGTTTCAATCCCAAAGATTTCATTTGGTTACAGTAATTTAGAGGAATAACAGTAATTTTTAGGAAGTTACAGTAATTTACAATTAAATTTTTGAGCACTTTTAATATTCCCAAACCATTATAGATTATTTTTTCATAAAAATTGTTAAGATAAATTTATTTAGCCTTAGTTGTACTTTTATTTGTAATTTTTTTCTTAAATTTATTCTATTTCAATGAAAATCTTTTTTTAAAGAAATAATTATCGAATTCTTCCTAACTTAAGCAATAAATACCAGTAAAGCACCTATTCTGTGACTATTGAGTTCATGAAGTCTGCAAATCATTTTTGAAATGTTTTCATGCCACTAAGTTTAAATAAAATGTAATACCATTTTGTTCCAAATTGAGAAAACTAAGATTTTAAATTTTATTTCAAGAATATATTCCTGATTTTTTTTTCAGTTTTATTTTAAACCAATCACGTTTATAGATCATTTAAAATTCTTAATGAAAAGAAGTTTATAAAAGAGTTAGACCCAAATTGATATAGTAATCCAAAAATTTCATACATTTTTTTCACACATACTGAAAATTTAGAAATTAAGTGAAGTAACAAAAATGAGTAACATATAAACTTCAAAGCTTATTTGCTCTAATCCATTATGGTGTCACTTGACCTTTCATCCACTCAGTTATTTAATTATATGTAGTGCAAATTTATCTTCCGACTGTTATTTTACATTTTAACTGTTTTCATTTTTTTTTTAAAGAAAAGGCGTAAGAGTATTCAAAAAGAATATAAGCTTATACCACCTACTGATGAAGAAACTACTTATGAACAAGTGCTTGAGATGTGTGCCGAAGAAGTACAAGATGGTAATGTTCTAATATCTTTTCTCACTTAATTATTTATTTTTTTGTTCGCTTCATATTTTTTTTCACTATCTCATTTTATTAATCTTCTATTTTCTTTATTTTTTGATTTAATGTAAGTGCTTTTCTTTACATCATTAACTTACAAATGTGTACTTTCGGGCCTTCATAGCAATTAAATAATTTCTTATAGTCAAGGTTAAAACTGCTGTGCAAATTGTACCAAGTTTACTCCAGAACTCTAATAATAATCATTGAGAAAAAATCTCAACTTTGGACCAGTTTGACACCGAAATTGAGTGCAAAAATAAGTTGAGTAGCAATAAATCAAAAAATATTGCAAAATAGTTTACGATTTAAATTTTTTCTCCTAAGCGTTGATTAACGTACTTATCTGGCCAAAAAGTTAGGAGAGTTTCTCCCTGTATGGGGGATACAGTATATTAATTCTTAATGAAAAATGGCTAAACGATTTTACCAAACAATCCAAAAGTCTTATTAGAACAACATGATTGTGAGTTTTTACATAGTCTGAATTAAACAAAACTGTGGTATCAATTAAATTTTCTAGGAAATTACAGCATGATGATAAAACAATTAAGCAAGCAAACAGCAAGATTGAAGTTAAAAAAGGCTAGCAAAGACAGTACATCTTAGACTTTTATACAAAAGTGTGGTTGTGTCATAAACTAATTTATAATAACTGGGCATTTTAGTTATCATTAAAGAAAAGAACATATAATAAGTTTAGTTGTAACCTTCATGCACTTTAAATCATAGGTTATAAAAGAGGTGTTACTTTCTCAAGAAAAATGGCATTACCTCAAACTTTATTTTTGTATCATAAAGAGTTAGAAAAAATGTAATACAAGGAAAGATCTGATTAATTTATCAAAATTTTAAGTATTTCAACCCCCCATTGAATTGAGCTGACAAAAAAGTGCTTACTAAATTAATGAAATTCTCTTGTCATCGTAAAGTAATAAAAAATATCTGAATTATTATAACCACGTGATTAGTGTCCCCAAAGTTGTCAATATATTGACTTGGATTCATGATAGAATAGTCATGATAGATGATAGAATTGTCATGATAAATTGATTATAGTTAAAATTTGAAATGAGCATTGCTTATTTTAAATATCGAAATTAGAAGAAAAAAAAGTTGAGGTTTCAAAAATTCCTTTGTAAAAATAATGTATAATTACAGGGAGATCAAGTCATTGAAATATGTTTTATGAATAAATCGTTTGCAAATGCTTGTTACTTAAATACAAAATTCGCTTGTCGTAACAACATTGTATTATATAATGGAAAGTAGAAGAAATTTTTCTTTCAATGAACAAAAATACATGAAGCTTGAATGGAACGAACCATGTGTCAATGATGTTGCAATATTGATGTTGGAAAGCTTATAGTGGTGGATAGTTTATAAATTTTTACTTAACGTATAATTTTTATTTATTTGTTTATTTTTTTTAAAAAAATATTGTTACCATATTTCTTTTATCTAATTATTTAAAAAATATTTTTAAATAATTAGAACATTATAATATAACATTATAACATAAATGTTATTAATTTAAAAATTAATAACATTTAGGTAATTCTTTGTTGTGTTTTTGTTACAATCTTTTTTCTTAGTAATGCATTTTTCTATAAGACTCTGTAAAACCTAATATAAAATGTAAATTTATGTGCTCAAATATGTAATTTTACAAGCAACGTGCTGTTTCGAATATAAATATTATTTGTTTCAAAAACAAAATTTATTTGCTCTAAAACGCATGCTGCTGTTCCATCCATGTATAGTAGTAAATATGATTGTTCATGCTGAGCTTTATAAAAATTTTGTTAAGCATTTTAAAAAGAATAATAGCAAAGGTAATAAAAATATTCAAATAGCCTTTTCATAAAGTTATAAACTACATTAGGAAACAACCACACTATCTGTTAATAGCAACAAAAACATTATTATCATGCCGAAATGGTTTAGCCAAATGTTGTAATGCATATTTTAAATTCGCAAAATTTTGACTTTATTTTTCAACCTGAAAACAGGACTTTTCACTGAAGGTTTGAACAGAACTTTTCTTAGTTTGTCTGAAGGTTAAATTTCTTTTGCTTTCTAATTTTTGCCCATTTAAATGATACATAACAATTACACATTCTTCATATTCATATCATTTTTTAAAAAAATTATTTTGCAGAAACAAAGCTGCTTGGAAGCTTATTACCTCTAGTTGTCGGAATGTGTCGGCAAACATTAAGAGACTATGACAAAGATATACAAGCTTCTGCCTCACTATCTTTAGCAAAGTTTATGCTACTTGGGTTAGTATCACATCAGGCTAACATTATTGTAACAAAAAAATAAGGAATTTAGTATAGCTTTCCAATTTTATGAATCTATAAATCGTTTGTTTATTGGTACTTATTTTTACTCTTATATAATATCCAGATTCCAGGTGAAATTTTTCCTCAAATTCTTGATTTTATGCTTCTTTTTTTTTATTATTTCTTTTGTTATTCTAAGTTTGTTTTAAGCTCCTATCTTATGTTGTAAATATTTTTATTTTTAATTTTTGCCCTGGTAAGTCTGGGGAGAACAGGGAAGTCTGGAAATTATATCAATCTAGAAAAGTTAGGAATATTATTGGAATATCAATTCGATGTTTGTTTTTGATCTATTGTGTCAATGAAAGAGTATTTACTCTTATGACGTATTTATATTTATTAAATGATGTAATTTTTTTATCAATTTTTCAGAAATATATTTTTAAGCTAAAAGTTTATTAAACATTAATTAGAATTTATTGTACTATCAAAATATAAAAAAATTCTTATCAATGTTAAGAACTTCATCATTAGACTACAGTACTTCATCCCAGCATTTTTGCTATTTGACAAATATTTCACACCAAAGGTTCTACCAGTTTCCTTTGAGATGTCGTCAACGTGTTTGTATGGCACCCGGCACCCATAATTCTATCTTTCATGCAGTATATTTATTTAATTTATTGTTATAATTTTTAAGTAAAAAAATTTAATTTTTTATTTTAATTACAAGTCAAAGTGTTTTATACTTTATGTACATGAATACAAAAACTGAAAAAATAAATAATAAAATTTATGCCATCAGTTTCAAAATATCAGAGAAATTCTATAAAATCAGACTGGAAAAATTAGAATTTTTTTTCCAGAGTGTTTGTGGTCACCTTGTCTAAGTATTTTGAAAAACAATCACTGTGCTAAAAATATTCTAACATGCACATATCAAAATTTAAACTGTGTAAGAAATAATCAAATTCAACTTGAAATTATTAGATTGATAATGGTTCGAGTCAAAGGAATTAGATTTCTCATTGTTACTTAGTAGAGGATCATTCACCAATTAATTTTTGTAAAGTTTTGTCGGTTAAACTAAGGTTTCTGTAGTCAGTTTTGCTATCTAAATCTTTCCTATTTGTAACATTCTTTATTAAAATAATAAATAGGAACATTTTACTAACAATATATTTTCTGACTTGTTTCGCTTTTAAGATTTTTTCCACTAATGGCATCATTTTGAAAACCTCTAATTGTTAATTATCGTTTTACAGTATTAAATTTTGTACTTTTCATCCAATGATGCAGCATTTAAATAAAAATGTCGTTAATTTATAAATTTGTTACACACAGAGTTATCTTGTTTCTTAAATATGCATTCCTTTTATTTATTTATTTTTATTTCTCTGAGCTTTTTCCTACTTTGCAATTTTATGCCTAAATAATAATAATAAATTGTTCATATTTCTCAAAATGAATGTATCCTATAAATATAAATAATATTTTATAGAATGTAAAAATAAATATTTTACTTACAGAAATATTAATTTGTATTTTGATACTGAAATGTAGTCATCTGTCATTGTTTCTCAATAATTTCGTTTTGTTGAGACTTACGACATTTGGAACAGTGAGTTATTATGCAACAATGAGTAATCACGTAAATTCTTTTGTAACATTTGTTTTCTAAATCAATTAATGATTATTATTTAAGAAATTAGTTTCTTTATCCCACAAAACACTATTTATCATTGCTCTGCTTAAAACAGGTTGTCTTGTAGGAATCTTCAGCTGAAGGCCTGAACTGCAGTTTCCAACATGATGATGAGCATCATTTATTTAATGTTTAAATTATATTTATGGAACCCTTACCATAAAAAAAGAAAAAAAATTCTTTTGAAACATTTATGAATTACCCTTCAGAGAAAAATTAAATCTAGATAATTATTATTTTAAAAACTGCTATTTTTTGTTTTTAACTTTTTATGAAAAATTTGAAATTTATTTTATTTATGAATACTTATTTTACCCTTATAATATGTATATTTTTGCAATATCTTTGTTTTTATTACAGTTTATTTTCTTAAAATCTTCTGTTTACTTTCTTTAGCTGTGTTTAAGCTTTGTCTGTTAACTTTTGCTACATGGATGTTTTTTTTCTTCCAGAGAGAAAGTGTGTGCTGACAACATACAGCTGCTTGCTACCATTACTGAAAAATCTCCAGAACCATATATTAGAGCAAATATGATTATTGCTTTAGGAGATTTAAGTACCAGCTTCCCCAATATTATTGAGCCATGGACATCTCAATTGTTTAACAGGTCTGTGTTTTTTAAGTTGCTTTTAAAATGCTCCCATGACATGGTGCGTAGCGCTTTTAAAGGTGCTTATTTTTGTTTTTTNACCATATATTAGAGCAAATATGATTATTGCTTTAGGAGATTTAAGTACCAGCTTCCCCAATATTATTGAGCCATGGACATCTCAATTGTTTCACAGGTCTGTGTTTTTTAAGTTACTTTTAAAATGCTCCCATGACATGGTGCGCAGCGCTTTTAAAGGTGCTTATTTTTGTTTTTTAAAAGCCCTTTAAGGTGTTTTTTTTTATGGTATTTTTAAAAAGTGCTTAATTCTCCCTTTTCGAAAATGAGTTTTTTTTTTTTCTTTCTCATGTTAATTTTTGCTGCATATTATGCGAACGCGTGGTTTTTGGCATTGTTCTATTCAGCGTTTTCACAATTCATTCAACCACAATCCATTTCGGTAGGCCGTTGGTTTGTAATGTGTGATAGCACCATTCATGTTTGATGAAACACTTAAGAGTGACCACTGAGCTGGGTTCGGGGAAATTCTTGCACTCTCATATGCAACTCTGCTCCAATTTGCAAGATATTCTCATTTTCAGATTTCATTTTCCATCCTCTGAAATACAGCTGAAAAATCTCTATCTTTTTATGATGGTTAATATAATCAAGAAAAGAGTTCTTTGTCAGAAACTAGTTATTTTATCACGATCTTGTAAATTCATTGAAAATTATTTTGCATTTTGTTAATGTATATAATGCTTAAAAATATTTTTTGAGTGCTTAAAAGGTGCTTATTTTTTGTTGAGAGATTAGGCTACGCACCCTACATGAGTAATTAAATTTATATTATTTGGAATTGATCAAAAAACTTTTATCACTTTTAACTTAGGCGTGTGCCATAAAAAAAATGTTAGACAATTTGTACAATTTTATGCAAAGAAAAATTTTTTTAAAAAAAATTGTGTCTGTGGCTTTGTTTCAGATTATCTGATCCAGATGCGTCGGTTAGAGAATCAGCCATCATAACCCTCACTCACCTCATACTACAAGATTTTGTTCGTGTAAAAAGCTTGATAAGTGAAGCAGCCAAGTGCTTAGCAGATACAGAAAACAATATATCTGATGTTGCTAAATTCTTATTTTTAGAGCTTTCTAAAAAGGTCGGTCACTTTTTCATACTTTTAAACAGAGTTGAGTTTTCCTGGAATAGTCGGAAAGTTTTATTTCTAAAGTTAAAAGTCTAAATTTGTTATAGGCTAAAACTCTTTCTCTTTTCAACATAAACTTTGTTGATTTAAATTAATTTAGCTTACATTATAATTCTCCAATATTTTACGTACGTTAAAAATACAATATTTTCTTTAGTATCTCAAATAATTTTATTTTTTTATACAAAATATGTGTGTTTACAAATTCAGTGATTTCTGGCAAAAATCAATATTGGTGTCACTTTATATCAGTTTATCATTATATCTCAAATGATTTTTGAAGCAGTTCTTTAATTCTCTTAGTTTTTTTCTACAAAAAATTCTATAATGACTGTCCAACTCTTAACCTTCAGCTTGTTTATTTAGATGTGATATAAAAAATCTATTTCCGCTCAACATTCATTCTCTTGTTTTTGTTTGTCATCCCCGTTGCCAATTTCAAAAAATGGTTCATGCCATCTTTCACCCTTAATCCTTAAGAAGTACTGTATATTTTTAATCCTTAGAGAAACAACTCATGAAACGAAACATTTGTTGTTTTCAAATTCAATTAATATAGAATGATATTACTTTCAGTACTAAAGCAATCGTTTATATAAAAAAAGTTCTTTCTAAAAATTTTGATTTAGATGAAAAACAAATTTCCATTTTGCGAGGGCTCAAGATCTTAATTAGAAACCTTAGAAAAGAATTACACTTTTTTCGTAATGAGTAAATTTTTGTAAACTTCTTATAGAATTGAAGTAACAATGTATAACAAAATTTTTATCTTTTTAAGTACATGAGATGTTTTTAATGTTACTTAGAAACATTGTTTTATGTACTTAAAAACAATTTTTTATGTACTTAAAAACAATTTTTTATGTACTTAAAAATGTCATTTTGTGTACAATGTTGTACAGAAAACTTTGCTTTATATATATTGTTGTTCATAAGAAACATTGTATTACGTACTTAAAAACAATTTTTTATTTGTCATTTTGTGTACAGTGTTGTACTGAAAACTTTGTTCTATGTATATTGTTGTTCATAAAACATTGTTTTATGTATATTGTTGAACATAAATCATTGCTTTATGTATTAAAAAATTTATAATGATATACAATATATATAAAAAAAAGTGTATTAAAAAATTATGATTTGCAAGAACGATTGAATTTTAAAACATTCCACAGTGTCATTTTATTTGTGTTGCTAATATTTAATCAATAAGAGACAAAAAATTAATCTGAAAAAACATTAAACTGTATTAACACTAAGCAACTTAAAAAAGAAATTTTAATATTAATTGACAGGATATTTTTTTCCCTAAAGTGTTTTGTAGGCTGCTTAAAATAACCTTGACCACATGAAGTCTACAAGACTGCAATTGGTAATCTGTGATCTAGAATAAATCTTTTATTTTTGCAGTTGTCATTTTAATAAAATTTTTGCAACATGTATTACTTTTATTTGCATAAATGCCTTTTTAATTTCATAATAAGTTGTTTTCATAATTAAAAGTTTTTTCATAGGGCAATATTATATACAATATCATACCAGACATCATAAGTTCTTTGAGTGATCCTAAAGCTGATTTTAGTGAAGAAAAGTTTCAAGTAGTGTTAAAGTGAGCATTGAATCCTTTAATTCATAATGGACATAAAGTCTGTGGGATATTTTATATTCTTTACCTGATTTTTTGCATTTCTAGGCACATGCTTCAGTACGTTGAGAAAGAGAAATTGGTTGAAGGACTCGTGGAAAAACTGTGCTATCGATTTGCTGATTCAAGGTATGAAACAAGTTTGTTTTTTATTGTGTCTTTTGCTATATACACTGAATTCTCAATTTTTTAAGACTGCTATTTTTTTACCCTAACTGAAATCAAACTATTTGAATGCTCTAGTATAAAAATGTCATAAACAGTCAGATTTTGTATGCTGTGTGTAAAATTTATTATTTTCAATTTATGTGAAAAGCTATCCCAATGACACTTATAGGAATTAAATGAACCAACTTATCTTCCATAATTTCAAGTTTTTAATTAAGGGTATTTTTGACAAAACCTATTAATTATGTGCAATCTATGAATAACAATATAGAATCTATCAATAACTCAGAATAATATGGAGTTCTTCAGTTCAAGATTTACTAGGTATGATTAGGATATGCCTAAAGATCCTTTTATTAACCTTTACAAATGATTCTTTTTAGTACACATTACAATCCCTCAGATCGTAAGACATGGTTCAACATCCCTGGCAGCGGTCAGTGAATAGGTGGGAAACCAAATTGGAAAGATCAGGGAAAAAGGATTAATTTCTGTTTGAAGTACTTAAAAGTCCAATATTTTTACAATAAACTTGGTCGTATTTAATTTTTTTTCCAAATATTTTCAACTCTAATAACAACCATAAGTGTTTTGTCCTATATTTAAAGTATATGTATAAGAACTAAAAAGTCAATGGTAACATTTATACTACAAGTTTCAAAAATGAGGTGAATTCAATGAAATATGTCTAGAAAAAAGTCAGGAATCGGAATGTTTATGGCCATCTAGTCTTCTTAAGTTGTCACTGGTACCAACTTTATTATTGAAACTTACTGAGCAATGGTTTAAAATTTTCAAAAATAAAATTCCAATATTTCAACACTGCAGAATGTATAATTTTATTTCTATATTAATGCAAGCAACTCTGTTGTCTTTTTAATTTAGCACTGACATTCAACTCCATGAGCTGACGTTCTGCTTAAGTATACTTACTTTGAATGACAAGTGCTACAGCAAATTAATGGAATTCAAGAACTTCCTGAAAGAGCGTATGAGTGATCCTGTCATCATGAAATACATCACCAACATTACTGCCAATGCGAAAAAGAATGATGCCAAAACAGCTGCTGAGCTTGAAACTTTCAGGAAAGAACTGGGTCTCTGAAATGATCATTATTTGTTATGCACTCACTTTGTATTTATTTTATTTGTAAATAATTTATTGTTTCTTCTTTGAGTCTCATTTATACTCTCAACCTGTAAAAAGGATTAAAAAAATCAATATTTTTGTCATAAAATGTAAACTTCTTTCCAAATCTGGTGGACTAATCACAACACACAGTTCCTACTTGACCACCAAAGTTAACACGCTGAACGCCACACTAATTTTACATGGATTGCCCATCTGGCCACGATAAATAACTACAAACTAAATTTGCAAATATTAGACGGATTTTTCTATTTTTTTAGATGGTTTATCATGACATATCTGACAAAAGTGGTGAAATATATAAGCCTACAAATTATGTAGAAATAGTGGTGGATAAAAATCTACTAAATTGAATTTATTAAACCAAGAATCACAATAATTAAGTAAATTTTGAATAAATTTTCTGCAATTCCATAAAAGAGTGTGAATTTTATAGTTCTATATCATGTTATACGCTGTCAGCCAGCTGTTTTTCGCAGCCTATGTGAAAGGTCGGTGTCAGCAAGCGATGGCTGACGCGGTCTAAATGTAATTTCAGTGTCAGCCACTTGGCCTAAATGGAAAGTCCAGTGTCAGCCACTGATGGCTGACGTGGAGCTCAACGTGTTAAGCATCACTGGCAACTGTCAGTGAACTGTCGAGTTACCACGTCGATCAGCCTGCGAATGAACCAAGGGTGCACACTGCATGGTATTGGTTTGTATTAAACTGTTCTATCACCATGATGGATCAGGGGATAGAGCATTCGCCTTCCAATTAGGTGAACTGGGTTCATCCCAGCATCAGCTGTTTGATACGAATTCCGTATCCGGCTTGCAGTGACCTCAGTGCTGACGTAAAATATCCTCGGTTGTAGACGGACCACGAGTTGAAAGTCTTCTTGTCATCAGGCTAACCTCGGGAGGTTTTCTTCTCCATGCAACGCAAAAGTGGGTTAGTTCCACCAAAACGTTCTCCACGAAGGCAAATTTCTTCCAATACTTTATCCAGGAGTTCCCTTGTCTTCTGGATTGGGTTCCAAATTACAAGGCTACAGAGTTGAACATTAGTAGTCATAAACCAGAAAATCGGGTCAGCTGTTCAACGACGGTTATAAAATGTTAAAAAATTGTCTACCAAAGCTGGGAAGCCATCTCTTCTACAGAGGATCAAAATTGTGATGGATCATTCTGATGTTTCCCGGGCCGTTGCCAATTGTGCAGCTCTAGTATGATCTAAATAAAAATACTACAACTACTTTCCAAATCACCTTTGACTAGAGTCCATTAATCTAATGTTAGAGAATTAGGACTTACAGGTATCAGTCTGCGATTGGCTGAAAGGCATAATTTACCAAAAAGGTGTTAAACAGTTTTCTTGTTATAACATTGTATTGTGATGATTATAAGGTATCTTTAGCTAATGTTATCTCTATAAAGGTATTTGTTCTTTTTTCTTGATTTAAAAAATAATCTTGACTATTCAAAGTATCCATAAATGTTAATATAATATTACATAACCATATCTTTGGTGATAAAAGTTGGCTTTTAATGACACTCATATCAAGTTATTTACACACCTAATATGCTAAGAACTTTTTTTTATACGTAATTGGTTTTCCTTCTATGAAGCTATTTCTAGAAGAAATTTACTGAACAGTATTTTGCAAGCACAAAACAAAATTTTTCTATATTTAAACACTAAATAAAGCATAGCTTGATGCAATTTAAAATGATTTTGATATAGAGTAAGATAGACAAGTTTGAGGGAAACTTTACCGACGCCTTACTCTTTTGGACATTTTTTTTAAAATCTGTATGTAACTCAAACTACATTAGATGCAGAAACTCTGATCAACGTTTCATTCCGGACATAGCTCAAAATGTGTGTTTAAGAAAATAGATGTAGCTTGAAATATGTGTTCAAGAAAATAGACATGACTCAAAAATGCACATTTAAGAAAATGGATATATCATTCAAACTTTTATGTTTTCTTTTTGAGAATAAATTAATGATCTAAATAAATTCATAATTTGATGTCCATTTGCCAAAATTACACAGTGAATTTTTTTTTAAATTTAATTTTTTTTTTTGAAACACTATAAAAGTACAACTTTGTCATGGATTCCATAAATTTTTAATAGTGAGTAAATTCAAGATGTGCAAATTTATATATTTTTGAAGAAATCTTCATCATTTGGTATTCTGAATATGAAGAGAAATGATGTAATATACTCCTCCACCCTGACCTTTTAATCTGGCCTGTAATGATTATGCTTAGTTTTTAAAAATGTATGAATGAAAATCCTTGTTTAGTTGCTAAATTTGGGTTGAACATTGAAAATGCTCTTATTCAAAAAGCATGAAAAAATGCGTCGGAAATAATGCTTCTTACCTACTAGAAGAAAAAAAATTCAATTGTCTCTCTCAAATCACCCTCATTCCCCTCTAGAAAGGAAGCGTACAAGTAGCTGAGTTTTCAGGTATCAATTATAATAAAAATTTTCGTTAAAAAAAATATCTTGAGTAATAATTTTTCCAAATAAACACCTTTTCTTTTGCTATAATTATTAGGAATTTTTTTCTTCTTAAACTCGTTTTTTAAGCTCTGTTCAATTTTCGTAAATACACATTTCGAGCTTGGTTCATTTCTTAAACACGCATTTTGAGCTGCGTATAGAATAAAAAGCTCACAGACGAAATGATTACCATTAAATTTATGTAAATAGTCTGTCTTTTGCTTTTATTTTTCGAGATGTGTCCATTTTCTTACGAATTACTTGGGTAACCTTTTCATTTTCATAGTGTGTCCACATTCCAACTCCCAATCTTAATTGTAAGGGGGGAGGGAGTAACGTCTTAATCTCTTTAGGATTTACAAAATGAGAAAAGCTCTTCTCCAGGCCGCATAAACTGAGAGTATATTTTCTCGAATACCGTATAGAAATCACATCCTTGTGATTTTGGGCCTCCAGAATCAGAAAGGCTCATTTTATGCTTGATGCAGGAGGGCCGCGAAGGGAGAATCGCGATCATGTATACGTGATCACGGTCCTGAAGAAGTTAATGAAATCAGATTTTCACATTCTATAAATCAATTTTAATTTTTCGAAGGCCTTACCTTAAATATGATTTTGTAGATACAAAATTCAACATAAACGTCTCTAGACGAGGGGGGTGGCTCAAATCCAGAAAAATAGTTAAGAAGAGCGATCTAATGTTTGAGGCCTCTTGGTATTAATTTCATTTTTCCATATCTAATGAAACAAACAAAAAAAGTTGCACACAACTATAAAACATTTTTATCCAACAATAATTCCTCGTTAATTTAAAAAAATATTTTTTTATAATCCTTTAATATTCAATTTACTAATGATCGGAGGAAAAAAAAAATTTTGAATTGTAAGATTTACAAATTTTTACACCAATTTATTCTAGGTAATTTTAAGTGGCAAAATATAAAGGAATTGATCGATGAACTCTTGAAAAGTAAAATTTGAAACATGCGAATATTTTAAGATACGCAAAAAGTGAAATTAACCTGAAGGTACCTAACTTTCGCACGCTACTGCTCTTCTGCCCAAACTATATTTTTCTAAATTGCAGCTACTCTCTATTTTAATGACCAAGAATCCAAATTTATCGATAAAAAATGCATAATTATTTATTTATTACTTTTCTGTTTCTGATTTTATATCTTAAAGCATCGCCTGCATTAATTAATTAACATATTGTGTCCTCTAGTTGATCATTAGATCAAGTTATTAAGGTGTTCATTTTATCGATTTATTTCTGCGCATTCTAAATTTAGTAGTAGAAAATCTTAAATTTTTTTTTCCATAGCTTTTACAACTAGTTTTTATTTTTCCTACTACTTGGGTATCCATTTCGAGGAAAAACTAATACCCACCTGTGTAAAGTAACTTTCAAGATTTCGATTTCTTTAACATGTAACTTTTTACAATACAAGGCACAATGCCGAAACCCTAACTTCAGGGAGCTGGGCATTTCTCTTTTAATTTGTAGTCTCCCCTCCGACCTGCGGATGACCCTTGCGATTAGCTAAGCTACCATAAGCCGGCGAAAATTTCAGTTTTAACGTTGAATTTTTTGTCCATTTCCCGAAGTTCGAAAAAAAATTTATTTTTTTCGATAATGTGAAAAAAACTTTTTTCTTTGAACGTCAATTCTAATAAGTATTTTTTTTAATGAAAAATTAAACATTTACTACCTATGAAAACGTTCTAAATTCTAAAACGATTCCCAGCTAACAGCACAGGTGTAGAGAAGAACCAACTGCTTGGGAGATAAACTTATTTAAATTTCTCTTCATTATTATTAATCTGAGAAATGTACTCAAAAAGTAATTAAGGAGCAGCGGTGGCTTAGGAGATAGAGCAGTCGGCTCCCAATGAGTGGCCTCAGTTCGAATCCCGGGTTGATACTCTGCTCCCGGGTCCCACCGACCACAGTGCTGGCGTAAAATAGTCTCAGTGATAAGCAAATTATGGGTTAAAATCCCCTAGTCATCGGGCTAAGCGTGGGAGGTTTTCGTAGTATCCCTCTCCATTCAATGCAAATTGCGGGTTAAGTCCATCAAAAAAGTCTCCCACGAATTCTAGTTTGTCCCAAGACTTGATTCAGGAATTCTCTTGTCTTCATGGTTGGGTTCAAATTACAAGGCTACAGAGTTGAACATTGATTGTCGCAAACTCAGAATTGGATCAGCTGTTCAACGCTTATTATAAAACAGAATAAAAAAGCAGTTAAGATGAATATGGTTAAATCTTACTTTTATATTAAAATAACTTAGTTTTGGGGTCTATAGAACTTAAAATTTCAGATGATTAGAGTGCGCCTTTATTTCCTATACTGTTTTAATAATTTTGAGTGACTGATTCCATTCTTCTTCCTTATATTCTTCCCTGGATGGTGTCATAGGGTTATAATGATAATCTCCCATTTTTGTTTCAGAGTGGTGAGTTAAAACATTTGAAGTTTATTCGCACGTTTGTGTGATACGTGAGAAATGATGTACAGAGTTCTGAATATTAAAAAAGAATCCTAATTATGTGTAGATCACAAGCCGTTGCATTGTTCTAACGCGTGTTTAGTTCCATAGTTGTCTTGTTTGCTAATCTTTTGATAAAAAGGATTTTGAGCAGATGTGTAATTTTAGCATTGATTCAAATCTTAGCAACGTGGATAACTATACAATTTTTGAAGAAGGGCTATTAAAACTTGAGAGCGAATTTCAACTTGGAAAAATAAACGCTTTATTATTTATTTACAATTGCCCAGCCTATCTTAAAACGACTCAAAATGTGTAAGCAATCTAGCTTGTCTACTTTATACCCAACGCGGCGTCGAAACTTTAGACTATAAACCAATGTGTTGTTATCGAAATTTAAAAAAATATTCTAATTAAAAATCAAGGCATTCGATCAGTACTTTTAAACTATTTCGAGTTATCGAAAAACCGAATTTTGGACATTCAGATTACAGAAGTTGGGCTGTATAGAAGAAAAGTAAAAGTAACCTATACAGGATGTTCAGTAAACGCTACCCTTATTATGCATTTTAGGATTCTTTTCAAAAATGGTATATATATATAAGAAATCACAAAGTAATGCTTAAGCTAAGAAAAAACAACATTTTTTATCGGAATCGGGCAATTTACGTGTAAAGAAGACGAATCGAAATATCAAAATCTGTTTGATTACCTCTTGAAGCTTTCGTTTCAACGCGCAAACAGGTTTCGATGTTTCTGTGTGAACCGCATTGCTCAATAATAATTCGTCAACTTCTGATAGCCCTTTATAAAAAAAATTTTAAGCTTATCTGTTTATTTGCGATTTTGGTATTTTATAGATTACAGTTTCGACAAGAATTTTGAAAATTAATCCACCCTCCATTGTGGTTGCACTTTATATATTAGAATCCTTCTAAAAAGACAAAAAAAAAAAAGATTAATCCTTAGGGAACACAAATTTATTTTTACGTGAGGAAAAGGGCAAAATGAAATCTGTAGAATCAGAAAGCTGAAACTACAAACAACAAAACCTGTTTGATTGTCGCAGAAAAATAAAAGGAGTTGAAAGATTACTATTCGAAGCAATAAGTTACCTCGGGCTATAAAACTGGTTTGGGCGTTTTCAATTGGATTTTATTTTACTCTTTATTTAAAGTCTTAAGTCATCGAATTATTTTTTGCATAAAAGCTCGGTTAAACAGTGTAAGAAATTCCATTCTGATTTTTAAAAAATGTGAATTCGTGTTTAAAAAAATATTAAAAACACCACAGCAACTATTTTAAAATTTCAGCAATATATATATTATTATTTGCACAAATATCAACAAAAGCATAAAACAACAATGACATACAAATTCAACATTTAATAAACAACAATGCAAATTACATAGACCATATATTTTTTCTATTATTTTATATACAAGTCCATAGCTATTCGGGCGCTCTCATAAGCCTAAGGCCCTGAATCCGGTAGGATATTGCCCTGTATAATAAAAGGGTGGTTTTATATCAGGGTAATGATGATGATGATGAGCCATAGTATTAAACCCTGAATAAGCGTCGCTTCCGGCTATGTGATGTTCGCTAGCGAATGCAGCCGCTGTAGCATCCGCAGCAGACGAGGAACTGGCAGAATTTTGCTGAGCGGCAGCCGCTGCTGTCCAGCCGTTGAAGTTAGCTCTGGCTGCCGCGTTCCAGCATTCCTCGCCGGAAGATGCCGTTGCCATTGCGGCAGCTGTGGAGCTGCCAACTCCATGTTGATGGTGAGTATAATCAACTGCTCCGGCTGAGGATGGGACGGATTGATGCAGCATGGACATTACCTGTAACACAAAAAATAAATTTATAAACGTCTTCAATTTGCAAGATATTTTATTAAATTTAACGTTTATTCTCTCATAATTTTAATGAAATTCCCCAAGTTTGTTCACAGGATGAATTTGAAAGGGAATTTTTATTCCGTGCAAACAATAAATAAATCCCTTTTAGACAGTATTTCCCTGTTCATTCCCGTTACATAAAAATAGTTTTTCCGAACAGAGTCATGATGTTTCAATGCTTTCTTTCCTTATGTTGCTTTCAAGCAGCTCAATTTTAATGAATCTCCTAAATTTTTTTTTAGTTAGGAAGGATTTCCCCCCCCCCTTTTCAAACAAAAAAGAACTTTTTTGCTCCTTCAAAATGATACAAGATGTTTTTATAAATTTTAATTTTTTTCTCTCAATGTTGCGTCTAAACTTCGCAACTTTAATAAAATCTCCCAGGTTTTCTTCTAGATTGAGTTTGTAAAGGAATTTTCTATTCTTAGCAAACAATTAATAAATCTTTGCAAACAATTAATAATAATTTTGATGGAACTAGCACGAATTTGCGAAAACCTCCCTCGGTTATTCTGACGGCGAGGGGACTCTAACCCATGATCCGTCTATCACTGAAGATATTTTACTTCAACACTGTGGTCGGTACGAACTGGGTGCGAAATTCGTAACTCAGGTATTGCTGGGATTCGATCCGGTTCACCTCATTGGTAGTCGAGAGCTCTATCCCCTGAGCCCTCACGGCTCAGTGTTGTGAGTTTTATTTTATTTTATAACCGTCGTTCAACAGGTGACCCGAATTCGAGTTTACGACTACGAATGTTCAACTCCGTAGCCTTGTAATTTTGAACCTAATCCAGAAGACAAGGGGACTCCTGGACCAAGTATTGGGAGAAATTTGTCTTCGTGTCCGACTTTTTGATGGAATTAACCCACATTTGCGTTACATGGCGAGGAAAACCTTCCAGCGTTAGTCTGACGGCAAAGGGACTCTAACTCATGATCCGTCAACCACTGAGGATATTTTACGTCAGCACTATGGTCGATGCGAGCAGGGTGGGGAATTCGTGTCCACTAGCCATTGCTGGGATTCGAACCCGGTCACCTCATTGGAAGGCTATCGCTCTATCGCCTAAGGCAATACGACTCACTATTGTGAGCTTCTAATAGGCTGTTAGGCTATTGTGAGCTTCTTCATGGCTGTTAAATCAAGTTCAGCTAGCGTCCCCATGCTAATGCTAAAAATCGCGCCAATATGAAGAAAACCCACAATTTTGAGACAATGTGGTCTAACGTTTCAATATTTAAAAACTTACTCCTATGCTAAATTACCTGGACTCATAAGATTTGTTAAAATTTAGAATAAGGCATTGATTTTGATAATTTTTATCTCAGTGGGAAAATGTCGCCAAATAAAATATTTAAGTTATTTATCCATTCTAAAGGCCATCAGACAATTCTTCACGGCAGGATAGCATACATAGTTAAAAATGCTTTGTTTCAAGAGTAAAGCACTTAAATTGTGACTTTTCTATTTTCTTTGAACGAGTGCTTCGAAAAACCATGCCAAGATGAATTATCCCAGATACATGAAACATGAATTTTCATGCTTTCCAACATGCGGAGATGAACGTTTAGTAAACCAACTACTTGGATAAATTAACATCGACAACGATAAAATAAATTTGAAGAAAAAAAAAAGTATAAATTGTTGGGTGTGAAGATTAATTTCTTTAATCTATTTTTAAATTAATTTGAAACATAATTTCTTTTTATTTAATTTGAAAGTTTGGTTTGAGTTTCCACATAGCTTAATGGCTGATTTTAAAGAAAAGTGTTTGAAAATTAAATCAACATTATTTTACTCGGTTCAAATGTTCTGTTCCTCGGTTCAAATGTTCATAACCAATCACACCGAACTGGATCTTTGCTTAAAGCAATATCTCATCGATATGCATGTCAATTTAATTACACACTTTTAACACTCGTGTCATACTTACTGTTTTTATTCTCCCAGAGGGCAGCACCAGGCATCAAAGAACTATCTATGTTTGACACTTTTTTTTACAATGTAAAGATAATCATAAACAACGTTCATGAGATGGGTCCCTTTCACTAAAAAGCGCTATAATTTCTCTTCGGCAACGCCCACTTCAAAAGTTAATGTCAGCGTAGAAGCGTGAAAATCGAAACATGGTTTGACTGATGTTTTCTGTTTTAGTTCTTTTTTCCGCACGCCGCCGTCAATTTTATTGACAGACGTTTGGCAACGAATATCGTTTGATAGACAAGGTGGGCAATTTATTCTAGTTGATATCGTTTGACGGAAGTTGGAAGAAAATCCCCTAACTGACGAGTTATTGATTTAAATTTATTCAGAGAACAATTATTGGTAGTTAAAAAGAAATTATAAAACTTTAAAGTGGTTAAGCAATAATGGGATAGTGTAATAATGTAAAAGCGATGCAATATAATAATGTTCAACAAAGTAAATATACTAAAATAAAAAAACTTTTAAAAAACACATTTATTTTTATTGAAAATCTGAAAACTTAAGATCGATTTCAACTGCGGTGGAGACGGGGAGGAAAAATTCTAAACAGGCTTTTAATCTTTTTCATTTAATTTTCACAAATTAACTGATGGTGGATATTTACTCTATTTGGCATTATCTTTCGATACATGAAAAATCGTTATTTAATTAGAATTTGAGATGTAAAGAGTGTCGTATTCTTAATTCTCTGTTAATTTTTTTCGCAAAATTATGCCAATACAATTCTGCAATCAATAGTTTCTGAAAGATATTTAAATAGTTAACAGTTATAAGTTTTTAGAGTTTTGATAACTATTTTTATGTTTATGCAAGTAACGCTAAAATAAATTTTTAGCGTTGTTCAAATCGTTTTTCTTCAATTTAAGCTGCAAGAAGTTTAGATTTTAAAAACTTAGAAACGTGTAATTTTAAATTACTTATTCATAATTACAAATCGCATCATTTTAATGCTTTTGAATTTTGAGGAAATTTTCATAGAAGTTCTAAAAAATTATCAAACGCTATTTTTCCTAATCGAATAAAGCGACCCCTTTATTTCTGCCTTTTTTTAAAAGGATTGTGCTATTTAATAATAATATAATCTCATAAGTTTAAGCCCCAAAAAATTTCGAGAAAATACAAATTAAAAATTTAACGTGAAAACCAAGATGGCAAGAGTACCTCTTGAGTAATTGCAAGAAAAGAAAAAAAAAAGAATGAATAATAATAATAATACTTTTTTTTTTTTGAATTTCAACTTTTTATTCTCAAAATAATAAAATACTGTTTAACTACGACTGTTTTTGTTTCAGTGATGCACAACTGTACGAATCATAGTTTTAGAATTTTGTGCACACCATATCGAAGTCAAAGCTTTGATTACAACAGTCTCTTTTTTTTTAAGTGCTAAAAACAATAAAATATTATATTATTAAGGATCAATAACCAGCAACTAAAAAATTTTTTTTTAAGTTTTCGTAAAAAGGAAAAGTAGAGGATAGTTTTGATAGAAGAAAAGGAGTTCAGGGAAAGAATAAAAAAATTTTTTTTTTGTTTCAACTTTGCAATATATAAAAATAATGAAATCAAAATAAGAAAAAAAGCATGTAAAATTACACTTCTTCTGTGATTAAATAATTGTTCGATTTAACAATAAAAAGAATCCTTAGTTACTTTTAATCTAAGTTTATGTTCAGATTTTCATGAAATAAAAAGCTTAAAATTTTTTTTTTTGTTCATTTATTATTTAAAGACTATACGACCAATTTCATTGACATTTTTCAATTGGCATTTTAAAGTGACATTGTTTAAAAGGCTGTAAAAATTCACATTCCTTTCAGTTGGAACATATCTTGATCATTATCTCAATAAATAATAAGCAAATGAAAAGTAATTATTGAAAATTTTTCATCGCATTGAATAACCTTTGATTAATTTTGTAATTGCGTGCGAAATTTGTTTAATTTGCATGAATACTTTCAAAGACAAAGTAAAATACGCAACAACAAAAAATGAAAATAAGATGCAGATGACGTAGATTTTCCAATACTGGTAAAAGATATATAAATTCTTTGCGGGTGGCGAGTGGTCATACTACAATCTATTATAATACTACTACTGCAATAATTGTAAGAGAATTTGCCATTTAGTTTAAATCCCGTGGTTTCGAAGGTTATCTTATGGCCTTTATGGAAAAAAACATGAAAAAAAAAAGAAAACAAAAATTTAACCTAAAATCCAAAGAGGTGAGAAAGATTATGATATTCTTGCAAATAACAATGACTTACTGTAGATGGTATAGCAGGATTGCACTCTGCTATGGAGTTATAGGCTAGAGATGATCGAGGCTCTGTTGATGATGCATGCAAGTGATGGTGATGTAACGATACGCTGGGTCCCGTCTGTAATGGTGAAGAGTCTGAAATGGAAGCACAATATTTTTTCAGTAATGTGATTTAATTAGATAACCATTTCATTTTCACAAATGAAAAATACATAAACTAATTCAATTTTATCTTTGGATGAGAAAAAAATCTTACGAAATCAGCTTAATTTGTCAACTAATTCTCCAGGCAAGGAAAATGACAAAATTTATATCCAATTCGTGTTTTTTTTACAAATAATTTAATATTTCAAGTTTGGTTTTATTTAAGTTTTTTTAATATATATTTTTAAATATTTTGTTTATTTGCAACTCAGGTCAAAATTATTATTCTTTAATCTCATTTGAAGTACAGAAATAAAGAAAAAATAAAAAATAAATATAAGAATGAAGATTATTTCGTTATTAGCATCGAGAAATAATATATTCATAACCATTAAAATAAGCTATTTATCACAAAATTAGTGATAAAATCATTTAATTTTCCTTTTTTAAAACTGTATATGAGATAATTTCTCATATACAGTTTTAAAAAATGAAAATTAAATGATTTTATGAAAATGACCTAACATATTATGAAAAAAATGCAGCCATTTAGTTTAAAAAGTGTAAATATTAAGAAAATGCTGATAATTAATCCCAAGTGTTCCCTTCACACCAAATTTATTTATTTAATTCATTTATTTAATTTATTTATTTAATTTATTTATTTAATTTACTTATTTAATTTTTTTTTTTTAATTTAGTCATTTAATTTATTTACTTTGAAATTGTTAATATTTTCCTGAAGTAAACATTTATAATATTATTTATACTATCTAAAGTAAAAATTTATAAAATTTGTCTAAAGTAAAAATTTAAGAATACACAAAGATTGAGAATTGGAGCAAGGAAAAATTGAAGCTGAAAGTGGAAAATAGGAAGAAATTCGAAAATTTAAATAAGTTAAAATAAATATACTCGTGTACACGAATATATCTTAAATTATTCGATGTTAGAATAGTTAGTTTTTTTATTTACTGTCTGTAAGTACACGAAATATGTATGAGTGGTACATTGCATAACGCTATAATTAATCCCAACCGTTCCATTTACAACGAAATATTTATTAAAACATTTTTTTTCTTGGAATAATTTAAAAATTTAAGAATACATAAGGAATGGTAATTGGAAAAGAGAATAAATTGAAGCAGAAAGTATGAATAAATTTGAAAGTTTAAATAATTAAAAATAAATGTATTCGTTTATACGAGCATATCTTACATTATCCGGTAATAGAATAGTTATTTTTTTTTTTTCATTTCAGACAGTAAATACACAAAATATAAATAAGTGCTACTAAAATGATACCCTATAAGAGTTGAATTATCTATATCATTCATGTATACCAAATATGATATCATTCATGTATATCAATATGATACCAAATATGGAATTTCTTTAATTTATAAAATCAATTATTGATAAATTTATGAATCTGAATTTTAAAATTTTTTTTTTCAAACTACATACATACATACATATATATATATATATATATATATATATATAAAGAC